TAGTCTGAATGAAATTAACGGGCCTGAAGTTGATTCGATTATGAAGTTTGTGTCTGATAGATTTACAAATGAAAAACTTGTATGAAACTCAGGGTCTGGTCTGAGAATTTTAAGCAGAGAATTGATACAGTTCTTTATTTAAAAAAAAAAAAAAGACAGATTTTGCAAGCAAATGAATATAGGAAAACCTCTGTGCTTATATGAGAGTCATATTTACCATGCATGTGGATGCCAGCATTGAAGCTTTAAATGCTGTCCCTGTCCTAAGAGGTAATTAAGCTTTTTTCTAGAGAAAAGTCATACTTGAGGGCTACAGATCTTTCCTCCTGTCACGTCCTGTGGTTGGGAGGCAATGCATATTTCAGATTGCTGTGTCACATTAGCGGGCTGAGTAGGCTCAACAGTAACATGTAGTAAGAGCAGAAGTTACGTGAAGCGTGACAGTTTAATCCATTTTACTGCTGTTTGATTATTTTTCATTATTACAATAGTTTATTATTTGACAATGAATCAAATGCGTGGTGCTGTATGCAACAGAGAAGCTGAAACATGGTTCCTGCTGCAAGGAAGCCTGAGATCTTTGAAAAGGCCTAAGTGCGTTCTTTATGTAAGGATTGTAATTCTTTGGCTTCGCTGACTGAGCATGTTTAAATCGGTTAGTAAGGCAAGTGGTGGAGGACTGAGCTCTAAACTCCCCCCATCTCCCAGTGACAGTTTTAATAGCAAACAACTTAAAGATACGCATTTAAAATCTTGTTTTAAAAATGTAAGTGTGTGTACAACTGTTGCCAAACTGATATCAAGTGGAAGAACCTGAACTGAAAGGGAATTTTCCCTTTTATTACTAGCATCACACAGGAAGCCTGGCAACACTGAAGCATGCATGGAGGTGGCCATTTTTCATGAGACCAGGAAGTGAGTGACTGTTATTCAAGCCCAACAGCTATGGCAGGCGATGAGAGGGACTATAACCTGACAGAGGAGCAGAAGGCCATCAAAGCCAAATACCCACCGCTCAAGAAGAAGTATGAATGTGAGTATTTCTAATGCTACGCAGGCAGAGCGCACGTGTGACAGCGTAATTAGGGGGGAGGGTGGGGAGGAGGAAGGAAGTGAGCAGGATGCCGCTTTTTAGGCACTCGTGCGGTTTCTTAATATGCTGGTATCCTGTATTCAGGCTATGGGATGCATCTGTAGTTGAATGATAGGGATGAGATATCTAAAGTTGTATTTCTTGCAGATAAATGCTATTTCTGTCATGGGTGCTAAAGAAATCATGATATGAATAAATTAGTTATAAGTCTTAGCTTGAAAACTTTCCCCTTTCAAGCCATTTCTTAGCTAAGTAGTACGTTTTTCTCTACCTCTCTTATATAAAAAGAGATATTCAAAGAGCGGGTCGGTCTTTGGTGCTGCTGCTCTTTTTTTTCCTACATGCGCTACTAAAAGATCATTCTCTCTCCCTTTCCCCACCCCTGGAACGTCTTCTAAGAACCTCTCCAGTAAGTGGGTGTCAGCCCAAGGGCTAGATTCAGGCTCTCGCAGACCATTCAGTGTCTGACCGTCTTTCTGTTTGAGCAGTGTTTCTCTGGAGGGATGCTGTATGCTACCCTGTTAGAATATGTATTTTTAGGATGTGTTTAGATCTTTATTTGATAGCAGTGCAGAAATACGGTGACATACTACAATAGTCATGCTCCTTCCATAATTGGAAGAGGTTTTATTCTCCTTTTAAATCCACTGGAATTTGTTTGCTTTAGAGACAGTTGTTGAGAACCGTTAATAGTGTGTGGGTGACCTAAGCAGCATCGGAACAGTGTTTTAGCTGGAGTGATCTTGGCATGGCATTCATTCTTCATCCCAAGTTAGCTCTGTTTCTACCAACCTGGTATTATTTTGCACTTCTGGCATTCATCTAAGTGAATATGAATGCTGTTCATGTAAAACCTGATACATGCTTGGGATGTTAATCCTACCTTGTTAATGAAGATTAACTGTATGTTTTGTATTGCATACTTTTAAAATTCTCCTTTTTGCATAATGGGTGTTTTGGGTGCGGAGAGGCATATTTGTTCATTGAGCTGTAAACATTTGCAAAACTTATCCTCCACATAATTAGTATTCGGTCCTGCAGACTTCAGCAAAACTCGTTTATACCTGGTTAAAGTTTTTTTTCTATCGCAATTAACCTGCAGATCCCTGTTGCCTTTCAACGGCCATATCTTGTACACAGTGCTCTACGCACAGGGCACTAATGTAATTTATATTCAACACTGTTTTTCTTCTATCAAGCTTGGCAGAAACAATCCAAGATTTCTCTTGTGCTAACCTTTTCTAGTATCCTGGAAAATAAAGATTATCACTGTTTGATGTGTCAAGATGAATACAGAAAGTTCTTGTTAAAACAATATCTGGTTTTATTTTGAAAAAATCCTTATTTTTAAAATGCATTTGGTGACTTCATGCCTTTTCTTTTTCCTCCACCCTCAGATCTGGATCACACAGCAGATGTGCAGTAAGTATGGGCAGCTGGGATTTCACAATATAACAAATCAATTATTTCTTATATTGCTATAAACCAGGAATGGCTATTGAAGACTGGTTTCAGATGTATACCTTTCGGAACTATGAAATGCCACACTCGCACTGGGTTTTTTGGTAGCCTGTTTCGTTTCTGCTCTTGGGAGAGCACAGAAGCATTGTGTTGTTTAGCTTCTCCTCCAATGTAATAATCCTGTGGTGCTTCAGATTATTATTTTATTACATTACTATTTTATTTAGAAATGTCTGTCAAAATGGGGCTTTTAATCTCCTTGCTTTAGAACCAAATTGCTTCCAAGTAGTCTACTTTTATATATATCAATTAGCCATAGTAAGGAAGGACGTTCCTGTTATCTGGTAAAACATTTATTTTCCATTTTCTCCCAAGAAGAAACTCTTCTCGTGTACTGCAAGAAGAAATATCTGTATCTATATATCTTTATCTATATCTCTGTGAAACCTTCTGCCCAAATGCATAGGTATAGAAAGGCCAGCATTTTTGTTCATTCACTTCTTTGCGTTTATTCTCATGTTCTGATATCTCACCTGTATAATACTTGGGGCGGGGGGAAGGTTACCGTCCCTTGAATTATCCTGTGTCTCTTTAGGTTACATGCTTGGGGAGATACTTTGGAAGAAGCATTTGAGCAGTGTGTTATGGCCATGTTTGGCTACATGACTGATACAGAGACCGTGGAACCTCTGGATACCATAGAAGTACAGGCAGAAGGTGAGACTGTAGTTACTTTATATTGGATCTGTATGAATTCTGAGGGAGAAGGGTACCAAAATCCTTCAAGTATTTAGATGTAGCTTCGTTGCAGTTGATTAAAGCCTGCTAAGCATCACTACTCTCCTTTTAACGGAGAACTTGTACTTCTGACATACTCTTACAAAATGTTTAGTTGTTCTTGCTGGGACAGCCAACTGACTCTCTTTCTCTGCTTCAACCCTGCAGGACATGATATGTTGTCTCTTCTTTTTCACTTCTTGGATGAGTGGCTGTATAAATTCAGCGCTAATGAGTTCTTTATACCCAGGGTAAATGTTTCATTTTGTTCTTTTTCTATTTTGTAGGATGATGCACTGATAATAGCTGCTCTGAATACAACGTTACTCTAGGAAAAAAAGGATACAACAGATACTTATAACACATGGAGGATTGAAGATACCAGGGTAGAAAGACCTGAGAAATACATTCAGTTAGCTTTGTTACCACAAACACCAACCACTAGCTGTTATATGGTAGAGACAGCTCTGTTATATCGACCTTCCCAGTATCAGTGTATCGCTTTGAGATTGATCAGGTTCTCTGGTTTTAGATTCCATTCAGAACAGTGGAAACGCAAGTCTTGCAAATGGGGACTTACTGAGATTTTCTGCTGGAAAATAGAAGACCTTGCTGACATGTTTTTCCCCTTTCTTTCTCTGCAGGAAGTGAAAGTGCTTTACATTGACCGAATGCAATTCAAAATAAGATCAATTGGGTGAGCTTCAAGGATCAATTGAGTAATAAATATATTTACTGAAAACACTCAACACTTTGGGAGGGTCACATATATTGCCTTTAGAGTGACCATTCTGAAATACTGTGATGTGCTAGAGTTACTGATACTTTCTAAAAAGTGATTGTGGACTTCCTTTTCTTCTTTTGAGACTTGAAAGCTTCACTGTCCCATGTTCATTAATGAAACTAGTTATAACATTTGATAAATATAACCAAAATTCCAATCACCTGTTTTGTTTTTGTTATTAAAGGTGGGGAGAAGAGTTCTCTTTACCCAAACACCCTCAGGTATGTGATGGTCCATTTGTATATTTTTTACGTTTTCAGGGGTAGGATGTGGGGGGGGAGGGTCTCTTCTAAATGAGACCTCTAAGTTGTCGAGATACTGAAGAATAAACGTTTCTGAATGGTATCACAGGCCACAATAACTTAAGATCTCACTTCCTACCTGTTCTTTTGTGAATGCGTTCCTGAAACTGTTGAGCATCTGAGGGTTCCTCAGCACTGGCAAAACTGAACAGCTGGCTTCCTTTTCTATGATGCCAATAACACAGTAAACAAATCTATTTTCAGAATGTTTGCACGGGGTTGGTCCTCACACTGTTATCACAGCTTTTTGTTCAGTCTTTTTTGCAAGTTTATTTTCTAAAGAATTAGCAAAAGCCAATCCTTACCTCTCAGCCTGCTCTTTCGCTATGCTAGTATGAGAACAGCAGTGTTGATGTTCTGTCAGAAATAAGAGGAGAAATTTGTACAAGAAGGAAAGTTACTTGTTCAGTATTTGGCCTGACCAAGTCATTGCTATTAATATGCTAACTTTCGTATTCACCAGAACAAATATAGTTACAGCTTTTGGGGAGGGAAAAACTCTTAATCTGGATAGCGTTTGTAGAAAGCGGTAAATATCGTGTATTGTCATGAAGAACTGCTGCAAGGGATCATAGTTTAGAAAATCCGTGCTTTTTTTTGTCTTTTCTCTCTAGGGCACAGAGGTCAAAGCCATAACTTACTCAGCAATGCAGATCTGTGAAGAAGAAAAGCCGGAAGTCTTTGTCATCATTGACATTTAAAGCAAGAAAAGTGTAATAAAATGAGTGGATACTTGTCACTGGCTAGCAAAAGTCCCTCAAAAACAGTAATCCTCTTGGAAGTAACTAAGGAATTGGCCAATTCAAATCATAAGTTGAAGGGAGTAATTGCAGGGAATGTTCATCTGTGTTTTGATTTGAGGATGGTGAGTCAGACCAAGACCTGTATGCCAGGAAAAAAAGAACTAGTTGAGGTTTTTTGTTTGGGTTTTTTTAAGCGGGAGGGGAGATGAGGGAGTTATAGGGGTTGAAAGTCTCTCAGGAATGTTAGTATTTTATATCAACTTTTATGGCTGAGGCATTTGTTGGGTGGTACATGAACTAAGTAGATTAGTGGCGCTGGTAATGAAAATATTGCCTTTTTGTAGGGTGGCAGAAGGTAATTGTTAATCTGCATGATTTCATCTGCAGATTTAAATAGTCTAATTCTGAGGTGGTATCCCTTCATATTAATTGAAGGCTCCAAAATACCTGCAGTGGGTCAGATTTAATGCAGAAAAGTTTCTGATTGTTTGAAGGATGCCAAAGAAAGTAAACCAATCTTTTAAAAAAACTTCTAGACTACATAAAGGAAAAAAAAGTAATGCCACCAGGTGGTGCTGAATTGCCATAAGTTTCCAAGTGAAATGCTGAAGTGTGTGACCATGTATATGGAATCCGAATAGCAATTATTATCACTCTAAAAAGTGGAGATTGCTTTGCTGCTGCTGTAGAAAGGGATGCACTGCAGTTCCCTGCACTGGAGTCCGCTCCCAACTATGCCTCATCATAAGAAAGACAATTTTCTTCTTTTAAAACAGAACTAAGCAGAAAATTCAAATAAGGTTCCATTTCCTTCTTTAGAAAGAAAACTATACAGAGCTCCCCTCCACGTAGGAGGGCTGTGTGTGGTGATACATGTGTCTGTAACTCTGATTATTCCTGCTGATTCTGCTGAGAAGAGTTTATGGTTTTCATCTGTCCTCGTTACACCACGGAGTTGTGAGAATGTGCGGCAAATCCCAGAAAAAGCTTCCTTTTGCCTTTAATTTCAGAAAATTCTGAACTTTCATTCACCGGTTCAAAAATAATAATAAAAATAGTGTGTGTTTTGTTTTAAATCATGGGACAACTAATGTGCGTTATCTGCCGTTGCTATTTAAACGTGAGCCAGGCGCAGTGAATACGAAGTCAGGGCTGACCTGACCTGTTTCTGATAAATGCCACAAGTACCTCACCTCCCAAGGCATCTTTATTTTGGGGTAAAATCATCTTAAACAGAGAAGACTTGAGTTTTTATTTCTGTATTGTGAAGATGGAGGATAGAATTTTTCTTTTTGATGCAGCTTTTAACGCTGAAATAAAACCTGGACCAAGAAAGAATTATGGATATGTGCGCACATGAATTAATTCTGACTGATGGATTTTTTGAGGTTAATAAATTAACATTTGAGCTTTGTTCTCTGGCAAGGTAAGAATTAAGATATGCCTCTTGTAGGTGGTACAAAAACTATTATGATTTCCATGCCCAGGACTTTCTTCCTCCTCAGAGGGGGCCTCACAGCTCCAGCACTTGCCCATCATGGAGCCAGGCCATGACGGGAGGGACAATGCCAGCCACGGTAGGGCTGTTGCGGAGAAGTGAGGCCTGGGCACGTCTGTTAAAGTTGCTCTAAATAAATCGTTAAGAGTCACTCTAAACAAAACGGCATTAAGCCTCTCCTTCCGCGCCGCATGGGACCAGGCACCGCGGGTGATGGCGTGCCCGGCGGCCACACGCCAAACACTACCATCCCTCAGCGCCGGCTTCAACACCTCATTGGCTGGCTGGGTCAGGTGACCGGGATTAGCCAATCGGGCGTCGAGTTGAGGCTGCTTTGTTCTCCACAGAGCCTGAGGGAGCTGGGATGGTTGCTGGGACGCGGCGGCTGCTGCTTTCCCTTTGCCCAGCCCTCTGAAGAGGGGGAAGAGTAAATTAAGTTATGTAGCTACGTTTTCATTTTGTTGAAGTGCTGAGGTGCCCTGTTTATACCATCTGTCACAGACTGCAGTAATACCAGTAAAATGCTTTGCTTTTAAGAATGGTGACTAGAATTTGGTAGAAGGACGTTTGGACTTCAATAAGTAAGTTTTGTCTGTTTTTTCAATATTTATTAAGTACTTACTGTAAAATAGGCCTCACATTCTCCTTGTTTCCACAGCTGTAGGAGTGACAGGTATCAGTTAGCAGGTGCTTTCTGGGAGTCCAGAAAAATGTGATTATTAAAACTGAAAAAAACTTCACAATAACAAAGGTTGCTTCGACTATAAGAGAAGTTGTATTTAGAAATTAATGTTTTTATACTGACTGCTCAGCGGCCTCTGAGCTTCCTGAATTTATGTAAGCTGGAAAGGCTTCCTAAAGTAGCTACATGATCTAAGTTACAGGTATCCCACAGAAATAAAAGGGACTTGGCCTATTCGTTATCTTTACATAAGATAGACAAGAGTTTAAGCAAATCTTGAGCCAGTCCTGAAAAAATGGAAAAAAAAAAAAGTGTTAATTGTACTTCCAGTGATTGCACTTTTATTTCCTTGGAACCACATTAGTGCAACTTTGTTTAAAATTCACGGTACAGAAACACTGCATATTTGAAGAGGCAAACTCATGCTAGCCAAATGCATTATAGCTGCTCTGTTGGCTATTCTACTCTGTATGGCTTTGTGTATTCTTTTAAACTATTCACGCTTTTCCTGAACTGTAAGAAGCAGTTAAGTTCACTCAAGAAAACAGAGCTTTAGTAAACAGATCAGTCAGCTAGAAGAATTTTGGGGTTTTTTTTACTCCTTTCTTAGGAAGTTTCCTAAGTGTATTTACATGTTAATTACAGTGTCTACAAAAACTTGGATTACATTTCTTAGCTGCTAATTTTAGTAAGACTTTTTCAAAGCAAGTTATCAATAGTAGCTTTTTCTTTATATAGTATAGAATCTTCATTTTAGAACTGTAAAATAGTTCACATTGCCATTATGAATAGGTACTCTGAATATGTCTTTGATTAAATATAAAGCAATTCTTCTAAATAGTTTCCAAACGCTAAGTAATTTTAGGCCAGTATCCAGAAGTAGTTAGAGTGTTGCATGTCCATAAGTACAGAACAGTGTGTTTGTAGACCTTATTTTGTTCTTCATAGAGTTAAATATCACTAAAGTTTATTAAGGAAACTAATAAACCAGTGTTAGTTGTCAGGACATAAAGTAATTTAATCTCAAAGATAGCAGTAACAAACATACAAATATATCTACCTAAGATTTGGCTTCACCTTTTCATCTGCCTCATCTGAAATATCATCGTCAACGTGTTGGATAACCAAATTATACGGTTCCTCCTCCATTGTCTCTTCATCTGATTTCTGTTCTTCCTCCAAAGCCCATTTGGAATGTTTGTTTCCTCGATAGGTGGTAAGAGAATGCTCTGCATCCAGATCATCAGGGACGCTGTCAAAACTAGCTTCTGCTAGACACTCGTGGCACAGTCTGTAGCGCCTTGTTCCTTGCTGAACCACACATCCTGTTAGGTCAGTTACATGACGCTTGCACTTTCTGCATATTAGTTTGCCAGCTTGATGTATCTAAAGAGATTTAAAAGTTGAAATTGTCAGTGATCATCCAAAAGCAGATTTAAAAAAAAAAAAAAAAGAAAGAAAATTCACTAAATCATTCTGAAAAGTAAAAAATATAAAAATGTGGGAGCAGAAGATAAGCACAGATTGTTTTATAAGGTCTGTTAAAAATACATTGGCTGTTTTCAGAGTGAGATTTTGAAAAGATAGTTTTATAAAGCTATTCAGTTACTCACAAAAAACTCAGTTATGCAATAAAATCAACATCTCTAAGAAAGAAAATATTTTTTGTGTTGTAATTGCTGTTCTGTCACCTGGAGATTACCACACTGGTGCACTGAATTTCTGGAGCAAAAACAAGCAGCAAAAAAAACAAAAGAAAGACATAAATACCCCATGGGCAGCATAGATAAGAAAATCAAATTTCTTTCAGATTTGTATCTTCCATGAACACCAGTCCAATCTGCCAATTTAAATAATGAATAATTAAGGCTGATTTGCAGCTAGGAAGTTTTTCTGGTACAAGTTCTAGAAATGACTGAACAGCTGTTATCCCCCTCCCCCCCGCCCCAAGCCGAATCTCTGACTGAAATGACATACTGTTTGGAAGTGGCTACGTAAATGCTCTAGTCGGGTGAATCTTTTCCCACATGCTTCACATGGGTATGGTCGCTCCCCTGTGTGACACCGAAGATGACGCTTTAGGTCGGCCCTCCGTTTCACTGTGTGCGTGCAGAAGGGGCACTTGAATCGCATTCGAGGTAGATCATCTGTTACAGAGAAAAACATATAATATGTCAAATATTAATAGTTTGTCTTTATACGGTACTCTGATTATTTTTAAGCGTAAATAAGCAGCTCATTTGTCCCATGGTCTGTCACTAAACATGAGAAAACGCAAAATACAACCCCAAATTATTTCTTGCCATCCTTGTCCAGCAAACAGTATTCTTTATGGAATATGTTAAACAGGAATTTGATAGTGGTTTTTTTTTTTCCTCAGAGTGAGTGTTTTTTAGACATACAGAAGACTGAAAATAGATAGGTGTAATATGCATTTGCGTCAATAAATAGTTTTTAGCTTAGATGCTTATAATCCCTATGTAATATATTAGGGTGCCTGGAGTTTTAAAATTATGCAGTTATAAGTAGATAGTGGTACATTAAATTAGTCTCCATAAGAAAACATCTGTCTACTTTATTCCATCAGCATATGCCCTCTGTTCATCAGGGACTTCTTTGATACTTTATGTAGCATGGCCAAACAGTCACAAAGTTTAGGCTGTTTGGACCATAAGGGAAGCGGACCATGCTTCAGTCTAAAGTTCTTAAGTGGCCAATGACATGACCTTCTCTTGTAAAGAAAACACTAGACTGAGTGCCAATGCTGCCAGATCCCCAAGCCAATTTTCAGCTCTATAGGCTTCATTTAACTCCACTTGGGTCCAGGTAATCTGATGTATATTAACTCCACTGAATATCTGGACAAGGTTCTCTGATTGTAATTCTCGTGCTGTTTTTTGACTTCAAAGTCTCTCATTCTGTTAGGCACTACCATAAAGTACAGCAAGGAAATAATCTGCAAGCCTAGGCATCATTTTGTTTTTCATGCAGCCATGCAGGATTCTCTCCAAAAGATCTGCTGGCTTCTTTCAAAGAACATCTTTCCAAAACTGTATCTTATTTTTACCTTCATTCCAACTACTCATTACACCTAAAATTGTGGGCATTGAGGTGTACAGCTCATCTGCTTTTAATTCCATTAACTCAGAAGAAGTTCTTGAAAGTTCTTGTTCTAGCTGAGCAACAGACCACCTCTTTGGTATAACTTCTGGTTCTTGATTATATCCATAATCATCATGATCAACATCATTCTCAGCATCAAATTGAATTTCCTCTCTTGCCCGAGAGATGTGGCTAGAATCTGATGCGTTACAACCTCCGCTAGTCTGCTCAGTTTTGTCTGATTTATACTGCACACAATCACGTGTCTGTGACAGTCCTAGATGTTTTCGGCGCTTTCTTGTTGGGACCAATTTTCGGCCTCTTTTTGATAGCTGTGTTTCTGGCCGTTGAAGACTTATCTGTGAAGACAGATAGCTGTTGTAATTACTCCAGGAATTTTCATTCACCATACTTGCCTTTTCATCTGGAATTACATGGGAACGTGTTGGGTTGCTCTTTGCTTTCCTTCTTGACCGATAAAGAGATGGGTGAGCAGATTCATTGTTCATACGTTTGGCCGAAAGGCTAAGGTAATGATCCTTTTCCTTTTCGTTAATGTCCAGTGAGGATTTAATGAATGTCTTACAGACATTAAGAATATCTGTCATCTGCAGATAGCTAGCAGCAGACATTACTTCAATCACATTTTGACCAGTTAAAGACAATATGCCTGAATATACAAAGTCCAGGATAACCATAAATGTCTCTGGAGAGAAGACCTCAAAAGTAGCTATTGTTGGCTGACTGGTGTCTTTTGAACTCTGTGAAAGGAGCATTTTGAAATATCCACTGCTAGCAAACAACACATTTCGATGTGCTTTGAAGACTTTCCCCTCAACCAGGATATTGCAGTCACAAAACAAATCTTGCTTCCGTTGTTCATTTAGCTGCTCTAGGAGGTGAAACTGATGGGAAGAAATCTCCATTCCAATGAGGGAATAACAGGAAGTCTTGCCCTAAAGTAAATAAGTACAGGCATGACAATCTACACCTAACCCAAAGTAGCTGAGTCCTATTTTAAGAGCAGATGAGCCCTTTCTTTAAAAACAAGGAAATCAAGCATATTACAACATTCCCAATACATTTATATTTCCCAACTATCATCCCACCACATATTAACACCTCTGCAAGAAAGATGCCTCAGCAGGATTACGGCATTCTTATCATAAAAGATGAAGCTTAGGTCGATGGAAGCTTAAACAGTTCACGGATTCAGTAAGAAAAAAGAACTTGCCCCCCCTGCAGCAGTGCGGAGTGCCACGATTCCAGAGCGAGTTCGTGCCGGATTCTGCATGCTGCCAGTCGTGGGCACAGCCTCTCCCAGAGCGGACCAGAACCGCACATGGAGGCGGCGGCGCAGCCCTCCCGGCCCGGGCTCCCCCAGCATTGGTAGCGGTCGCCGTCACTCACCCGCCC